CACACAGCGCCCTGCTGTCACCTGGGCAGAGGCTGGTTCTGCTCGGTGACGAAGCTGCTCCGCAGCTGGAGGTTGCTGTAGCATTGGTTGTCGGAGCCACATTCCTTCTGGAACTCGATCTGCAGGGACAGGGATGTCCCCTGAGCCCCTGCCATGCTGGTGGCACCCCAGAGTGTCCCCCCACCCTGCCTGGCACACCTTGGTCTCGTTCTCGTGGGACTGGTCCTGGTTGAGCACAGGGAAGGCGTCCAGGGAGTGGGGGCCCAGCTGGAAGGTTCTGGGCCTCTCCAGCAGGGAGTAGTTCATGGAGAGCACGATGGGGTGCAGCTTGTCCCGCACATTGTCCTGTGGGGTGGGATTTGTGTGACCCCAAAGTCAGCTCCAGCCATGGCTGGGGAACCCCTCTGCTGGTGGGAGCCCAGGGAGAGACTCCAGAGATGATCACAGGGATGGAGGGATGGATGGATGGATGGATGGATGGGTGGATGGATGGATGGATGGATGGATGGATGGATGGATGGATGGATGGATGGACGGATGATGGATGGATGGATGGATGGATGCAATCCATGGATGGATGGATGGATGGATGGATGGATGGAATCCATGGATGGATGGACGGACAGACGGACGGATGAATGGAATCCATGGATGGAGGGATAGACACTCACCAGCAGCAGGAGCTCCTGGGTCTGGCAGCGGGTGTCGGGCATGGAGAAGTCCCCGGTGTAGGTGGCAGATTGGGACCCAGAGAACCTGACCCTGGGCGGGTGCCGGTCCTTGTCAGCCTCCAGCGTGTACTGCAGGGCTGGGGGACAGCACAAGTTATCCAACACCCCCACCACGTGTCCCCATGTCCCCCCAGCACCCCCCACTCACTGATCCTCTCGCTGTAGTTGGGGTCCCCCGCGCTCTGGTTGTAGGAGAAGCACAGGGTCACCGTCATGCTGGGGGGACAAAGGGGCTGTCAGCCGAGCCAGGGCTGCCACCAGCAGCCATGGGGACACTGGGGACTCACCAGGACTTGGGCGTGCACTGGGCAGGGTCCACCTTGCTGGGGGTCACCATGAAGGTCTTGTCCAGGATGTTGATCACAGGCCGGGCTCTGGGCAGGGATTGGGGTTGGCTGAGCCCCCCGGCTCTGTGCCCACCCCAGGGATGGCAAGGGGGACACCTGTCCCTGTCCCCATTGCTGTACCTGAGCAGGACCACTCTCTCGCTCAGGCTGCCCACCAGCAGGTCCGGGTAGGAATTCCCGTCCATGTCCAGCCCCCCGCTCAGCGAGTACCCGAAGGTTTTGATCCTGGTGGGGCCCAGCTCTGCCCCGCTGATCACCTGCATTGGGGGGCAGGGGGGTCTCACACAGTGCCCTGCAGTGGGGGGGATCTCAGGGCTGGTCCTGGGGAGGGGTCCAGGTCCTGGCCTGCTCAGGGCTCCCCGGGGCCGTTACCTGCCGGGGCCGGTCCCGCAGCCCCTCGGCGCTGCTGTGGTAGATGTAAACCTTGCCAGGCCCCTCAAAAGGAGCCCCCACGGCGATATCTGGGGGGACAAGAGCAGGGTCAGCCCTCCAGAGTCCTCCCAAACTCCATCTCCAGTCCTGGCCACGTGTGGGGTCCTCCCTTCCTGTGAGACCCCACAAACTCAGCACAGGACAGGCAGAAGGAATAATGGGACAACCAGGATCTCCAACCTCTCCCAAATCTCCTCCTCTTCACCCCAGAGACCCCCAGGCCCCCACCTTTCCTGAGCCCCCCACAAAGTGCTCACCCTGGAAGCCGTCCTGGTTGATGTCCCCGATGCTGGCCAGGGCAAAGCCAAAGCCGGAGTAGCTGGGCCCGGTGAGGACCAGGCTGGGGAGCTGCTGGAAGCCCCCAGCCTCATTCATGTACACGAACACGGCGCCCCCCACCTCCTGCTTCCTCTCAAAGTAGTAGGGGGCGCCCACCACCAGGTCCTGCCACCTGTGGGGACAGCAGTGGCGTGCTCGGGGTGGGGCTGTGACACGGCCCTGACCCCACACACCTGGAGTGGGGGGGACACCCCAGAGGTGTGAAAATGGGACTGCCCCAAAAAAACCTCCGCAGCCCAGAGATGGGACCCACAGGGATCCCAGGGGAGCTGCTCCAGGTGAGACCCCCACCCCATGGGGGCTGCAGGGTGCTCCAAGTGAGAGCCCCACCCCTGGGAACTGTGGGGTCCAAGCCCACCTGAGCTTCAGGACATCCTAAGTAAGACCCCCCACCCTCAGGGGCCATAGGGTGCCCCAGGTGAGACCCTCACCCTCAAGAGCTTCAGGTTATCCCAGGTGAGACCCCCACCCATGGGAGCTGCAGGGAGCC